ATAACTCAGCCATTTCTTGACGGATCCTGCTCATCTTCGAACTCGACCGAGACATTGTTAAGACTGAACTGTGTGGAAAATTTCATTGCGATTGGACTCTCTTTTCAAAAGTTATCGTGTAAACGGCCGGCCGGACAGACGGACATACTGACCGATTCTAGAGTGTACTCACTTTTTGAGTACACAAAAAGAAATGTTTTTCGATAGATTCATCCAAGAATAATAACTGAACTGGAAATGGAAATAAATTATTTCATAATTTGAATTCATTTTTCGTTGAACTATGACGTCCAAGTTCATCAGTAATTTAAAATTTTTTATTTTGAATCATCAGCAATAACTAATTGACTATAGGCGAGAAGATTAGATTGATGTGAAGCCTCCAGAACAGATCTAAGTCGATCAAATAAACTTTCACACTTAAACTTTAGAGGACAGACCACGATGAGGATGGTTTGGTATGTGTCATCAAATATACATGATCACCTTGCTAATCCTAAGTGTTAACCCTTATGTCCATGATGGATCATTTTTGACGTACTCATAGAAACGATCTACTTCAAGCGATAAAACATCGACTCGAAACGTTGTTCAAATCTTGTGTAGAGCTTTTAATTTGCTACGAATTCGTAAAGAATTAAAGTTTTCTTTCAGAAGAGTGAAAAAAAATCTGCTTCGTTTTTTTTTCTATTTACTAACACAGATTAATTATTTAGGTGTTTCTGAAGTTGATACAGGCTACTACGAGCATAATGTATTTATCAAGTAGTTTTTAACAATTTCTTGATTATAGATGTGCAAACAGCATTTTTCTGGACAACTTGGATCATTTATTCATCCATTTGCAGTGATTAACATGAAAACTGGTTTTTCTTGAGTTATTTATTCAATATAAACTCATAAATAACTTGATCTTCATTCTGAAAGCTTTGTTAGGACTATTAGACAGTTTCTTCTGGACGAGATTACACCAATAGAAATGGATGATTTCGAACCAAATTCAGTGGCAATGACATACATATAAAACTCGAAGAGTTGTTACAAGTTTTAAACTTCTTCGAATTTTTAATGTTTGAAATTCGAATACTTGAATTATAGACTATTCAAAATTCGTTAGTATTTTATTTTACTGACAACTGGCAATTTTAAAGGCATGAATGTTGATTTTCTTAATTCAAGAGTAAGAAAAAAACCTACCATTATTGTAGAGCGTGTTGCGTGTCTATGCACAAACACAAAAGTTTTTTTCATGAAAAAAATTGGTAGTAACATTGATTGCATGATTCTTTTGGGTTTGTTTTGAAAATGCACATATGACAAACAAGAAAGATCCAGTAAGTGGTATTCGTCATGGAAGTCCATTAGTGTCATGCAACATCAATCATAGCCTTATACAAGGAAAGAGAAGGAATAGTCTTTTCTCATATGTTCATGCACTATTTGATAAGCAACTAAAATAATCTAATTTCGCTTATAGCTTGGCTGAAAATATAAGCTAATGAATGTGATATTTTTCATGAAATACTCTATAGCCTAATCTTTTTGAGGACATAAAACATGGATAAATCTCGGTTAGCTCAGTCACTTAGTTTACAGTACAGAATATATTAACAACTCGGTTTTTACTAGCTAAAGACTTTTGCTTCATAACAACTATTGTTAAAAATTCGAAATAATTAAAACGAAAATAGGATAACAATGTTAGCTGCCAGTCTATTTGATGAGCTAATTTTATCCATTACTAATGAATCATGTACGTAGACGCATTGGTAGAGCTTTCATAGTGGTGAGTTTTGCCATGTTTGCTTGTTAATTTCTTCTTGATTTGAGTACAACGTAAATATCTTTTAGGAAAAAGCATTGGTAAAAAATCGTAGAAACGATTATTTATTTTTTAATACAATATTCAGAAAACTGTTTTTTTTTTGTGAACACATCTATGATATTTTCATCTACTAACAAAATGTTTTATTCTACTCCTGTTCATTTATACACATTATCTTAAAATGTATTTTACGATAAAGAAAATAAATAAAAACACTATACATATACAATTCAGTTTGTATAAATAACTGAAGAAAGTTATGTAGTTCGAAACTATTCCTCTTCCAGAAAAACTTTGAGTAAATCTCACAAAAAAAGAAGCAAAAAATAAATTACATAATTGCATAAATTTCAAAACACTAATATACAAGGAAAAAATCGAAACAAAATCAGAAAAAAGTTCAGAAATCGGGAATTTTCTTGCCATATCGGAAGATGTGGTATCCCTCACTAAGACGTCTATCCGACTTTGTACTTGAAAAATAATTAATCTCGATTGCATGACACTGCTTCATATGGGTTTTGAATTAAAAATTTGTGAATTTCTTAAATTTTATTTGTGTAAATATTTTTCGAATAAAAGAAAAAAATTTAATGTAAAATTTTTTTTATAAATTCAATCCAGATCGTTAAGCAGCAATACCTAATCCGAACTGATCTAAAGAAATGGAAAAGTTAGCATCAAATGTCAGAATCAATTGTTCATATACAACATTAAGCAAAGTTATCTTAAATGCTAATCAAGAAATATTTATCAAATACTTGATATTTGTGAAAAATATATATGAAAAAGAACAAAAGTAATTTAAAAGAAGAATATATAAAGAAAATTAATTATTTTTATATGAACGGATCACTAAGACTTTTAATAGGTGTTATACGTGATCAAACTTCTAAAGTAATTATATTTGCTCAAACAGAAAAAGAAGCGTTTTGATGATATTTGTTTTCCTTACAATTAAATATCTTGGTTATTCAGTTTTTCCAATTCATAAAAACGAACGACAAAATGAACGTGATCGAGTTTTACAAGGTTTATTCTATTATTAGATTCAAGTAAATCTACAATTTATTATTCTTTTTAGAATGCTGAACTCGACTTTCTGTTATTCTTATTGCAACAAATGTTGCTGCTTGGTGTTTAGGCACGTATATTAAATGATTTGGTTTAATTAAATAAGCTAATTTTATTAGGATTTATTACTATTTCTGTTTCGTTATAGTTTGTAAGTAAATCTTACAGTCAGAGACCTACCTCGAATTGTTTTAATTCTGATGTACATGAAATTCTTCTAAATATTGAGAAAAGATTAAAAGTGAAGAAATCATTGATATACATCAGAATTATGAATGAGTGTAAGTATCATGACATCACGAAGAAAATGTATTTGATTTTAATTGTGCAAAGACATATTAGTGCTCGGCGTGCCGCTCTCTGTACTGTCGTATTGTCACTGAACAACTCGGAAGATACCCGTTGCCTATCAATGCGCGCACATAATAGATATCGACGATCAGTTAAATACCTTGAAATTCAGTACATGGTAAGAATTGTATAAGATTCTGTTTATTTTTATTCTTATTTTTAATCAAACTGATTTGTGATAAAAAAACAAAGAGAAATGAATTATTTCTTTTTTTTCATCGTCATAATTGCAAAAAAGAACATTGATGAATTTTAAAAAAAATGTATTCTAATTTTTCGAGTCAAGAAAGGAAAAAGAGAAATATCTTTGTGATTTAATCAGAATGAATCTTAGTTATGTACATATGTATTAAGATGTGCAACTTGAATTGAAGATTATGGTCATCATATTGGTCGTACTACTGTTCATTTAGGTGCTAATGGTACAGCTTTAGGTTTCTTTCACTCATAAGAATGCTAAGCAAACACAACATATAATACAGTTATTCAAATATGCTAATCAAGATGTCAAAAGAGAAATATTTCGCTAAAGTCAGCAATGGTAACTGTATGAGAAACTATCGAGGAAGGTATGTTAAATAAATCGATAAAACAATCCATTTGAAAGCTGTTTTCGTTTTTTGAGGACTTGGCGGACGTACTGTTCGTTATATAAATGAAAATCGTAATGGTTATAACAATTTTGAATCAGTTTCCAGTACTCCTGATAAACGTTCACATAGTTGTAGTTTCATACATTCAGCTTATAGTTTTGAATCCTATTTTGATAATAAAAATGCCAATGATACAAATAACTATAGTAATCATGAAAATGATAATAATTGCCTATGAACAAATATTTCTCATCCATCTCACATATAAAGTTATATGATATAACATAATAACATCCTAATAAATTTTATTTTCAGACAGAATCTCAACATTCTTATTCATCAATATCTAATGGCCAGTCATTATATTCAGTGGCAAACATTCATCCATCACAATCATATCAAGTCGATCAACAATAATTAATCCTTATAATGAATTTTATGATCAAATGACAACATATCATTCATCAACCTCCCATCAAAACAATGTATTCAAAAACTTATCAAACATATGCACAATCAAAACAACCACAATCATAAAAGCTTTTTTTTTGTTCGTTTCTGATCATTGATATATAAAGTAAATTTGCAAATGTATCATAATGTAGGAATTTTAACATGAAAAAACATTTATTTTGCGACCGTTTTATTTTTCTTTATTAAAAATAAAGTGTGGATACTTGTTCTCTTTTTTTTTCTTTCTTACATTATTTACTGCATATGTGGTTGTCTATCTTTTTTGGCTCTATTCTTTTTCATTTCTATGTCGTATATTTTCTTATTATTTTTTTTTTTTTGGTACTTTTTCTTTTGTAGAATTAAAAGAAAATTCAGCAACATCTTTATAATGAATAAAAGCTTTGAACTATAATTCATTCATACATATTTTATAATACATTTCATTTAGACTCGTGATTCCTAAAATCATTTTTTTAAAATACAATACTTATTTTATTTATAAAATGTCTAGCGGCAAGACTAATTTCCGATATTATTTTCGCATCATCACTTCTACAAAGATACCAATCAAAATCAAATTTACAGAATAAACAGTTATACTGAAATCATCCGACTGTTGGCTAAACTCGTTTCATGAAAATCAACATAATCTGATACTCCACAATCCACAAAAACCTGGATATCAGGAGAAAAATAAATGAAAATGAGATTTTTGAAGGTTTAAATAGTGTAAAGTATTCATTAGCTCGTAGCCATTTAAATGAAGCGAAAGATTTTGTTTCGGCTCCTAAGGCTATTGTAAAAATTTCGGTCACCAAATAAGGACATATTTTAGCTATCTCAGAAAGAAATTTACTTTTTTTTAGAGAACGTAGAACGAGCGGACAAGGAATTTGTTTATAGTCTCAAAGTAGAGCATCTACTCTATCAATTTGTCAAAAAAAATTGTTTAAGTTTTTCTTTCTGTACTAAAGGATTTACCCGACAAGGTGTTTTCAATAAAATGATTTGCCATATTTTTTCCGTACCTTCAATCTAAATGAAACTTCCAATGGTAATTCTTATTTTTGTGATGCTTCTATTACTTATGCATGAACGCTTCCACACCGATATATCCGTTTTTTTCAAAAAACTTTTCCTTTTTAGGAATTTTCTACGCCTCAGACGCCTTTTTTCGACAACATCATATTTAAAGTGGAAAATAGGTGTAAAAAAACTCCATCGAAAATTGCATCATTTGTTAATTTTCCAAGATAAAAATTTATTAACAAAAAATTAAAGTTAGACACTCTGTCAGAGATTTCCAGTGAAAAGAAAATTCTTTTATCGTTTATTTTTTTCTAACTATTAGAAGCTAACACATTTTTGGAAAAAACCCGATTATAACCAAAAAAATATTTAGTGAATGATATGCTGTTTGTAAATTGTCCAGTGTGTATTTCTTTCATGAGTTTAACACTCGTAAACTTTTTAAATCAAAATTATTCTAGAATCAACTTTTACTATTCAAATATTTACCATAGGAATGTTCTTCTCGAAATATTGAAACAGAAAAAAAAAAGTCAAATGATAACAGTACTAAACAATAATACAACTCAAGTTGAGTTCATGCTTGAATATCAATTAAATAACTTTTATTTTTTCTGTGGTTCAATATTTTTGTAGTCGTATGTTTCAAGTTTTATAACATAATGCTCTCTGTACATAAAAAAAAACACACTTACACACACAAAAGACACAACACATTCCGTCATTTATCACGGTGAGAAAAGCAAATGAGTTGCTAATGCGTTTTTTGTTTTGTTTTGAATTCTTGTGTCTTAAATCACAAAAGAAAAAAAAAGAACATTATTGAACACACCAAATGAGGCGATAAGACGAAATAAACATAAAGAAAAAGAAACAACAATAACAACAGGACAAAGACTATATTCTACAACAGTGCATCATTTATAAATCTTTACTGTAATAAACAATTGTTTTGGTTGTTTATTTAAAAAAAAAAAAAAACAGAAAAGAACAAGATCGATTCCCAGTTTACCATTCATCTGATAGTACATTTCGAATACGAATAACGTCTGACCACATATTATCTCTCATTGACCATAAAGCTTCATGAACATTATTATAAAGACCGGGACTACCATTTAAAAACCAATTAGATGGTAATGTTCGTGACGTATTATTTCCATTATTTGTATTTGATACATTATTCATTGAAGCTTTTAATTGTTTTGGCCAATCGGATATGAATTGATTATCAGGTTTCAGATTTTCAATATATCTGAAATTACAAAAAGTTTTTTTCTAGTATATAAAGACTCAATATTTACCTTAAATAGGCTTCTGAATGAACAAGTCGTTGTGTTCGTGGTGGACATGTAACAATTGCATTTGCAGGTGGTTTTGGTATTGTTTGCATATTTCCATTCATTGGATGGACATCTAAAAGATTTTATTCTATGAAATACTATAGTTTTTTTTCGAAAATATATATACTTGATAAAGTTTGATTCGTTTGATAATGTCCATTTACTGTAACACCACCATTTACCATTCGTTGTGTATTAATAACTGGCATATTATGTGAATCGTAATTTGTTGTAGTAGTGTTTGTTGTTGCTTGTGTTGTTGTTGGTGCACTACTAACCTGTAATGGAATGTTTTCATATATATATATATATGTTATCTTATTGTCTTTTGTTGCCTATTTACCTCTTGTTCTCTTGCTCGTTCACGCGCTTTTTCTTCATATTTATCACGTTCAGTTGCGGTCAATCGTCGCCACTTTAGAGAAAAAAAAACAATATTTATAGGCAGATTAGTTTATATATATATATTTTTTTCCTGTTTTTACCTGATCACCAATCATTCGACTCATCTCACCGAATGGAATGCCCGGATTATCTTTAATAAGTCGTTTTCGTGATTCACTTGCAAATACAAGGTATCCACAAGGTGCACGAGCTGATGATCCACGTCTATTATTTTTCTATTGAAAAGAAAAGAATAAATAATAAGTTCTTGTTTTTTTTCTTTATTGCAAAATCTACTTACACGACTATTATTATTTCGACTTTGTACTGATGATGAATTCAGATTATTATTCGTAATGTTATTATTACTAGTGTTGGCCGTATCAAAGTTCAAATGATTCGATTGATGCTCATCTCCATCGACGTTACTGGCATGATTGCTATTTGTTTGATCATCCGCGTCCATAAACGAGCCATCGTCGATCAATTTGAACGGGCCACCAGGAGTATCCTTAATAATTGAATTTTTTTAAAAATAAATTACATTTGTTTTTGTAAAGGGACCTCAATGCAATTCGACTTTCTCTCAGATCTGATACTCTTTTTTTTTCATTCTGTTCTCATACTATTACATTGATCGAATATTATTTCTTTTTGTTGCTTTTTTTACTTGTCGAACTAAGAAGTGGGTGTGTATGCACTAGCACCATTCCTACTCAGTTTTGCTTTGCGAACCCTGAATCGAAGAGCAGCACGAGAAACAAGAAAGAACAAAAACGGGAGGAAAAAAAGAAAACATGGGGCGGACGAACGACGAATGAAAAGGGACAATAACGCATCCCATTGCGTCCAGTACACACATACACACGCACGCGTCGCGCGCATTACCTTTGGTTTTATCTCCAGAATGCTGATTTTTTCAAAACAAACGATGACGAACGGACGGAAGCCGTTGTCGACAGTTCTGTTCTGTTGCGCGCGTTCGGATCCCGCTTTACGCGCACACACACACACAATATAATATCTATACGTTAATTCGAACGACAATAATTTTGTCGATAAGCAGTAACGACGTCGGCACCGTGTAGTCGTCGATATAACTAGCAGCAGGACGAAGAAAAAGAAAAGTTAACTTTGTGTATTGCTCTTCTCTTTTCTATATGTTCACATTTGCCCGTCGTGTTATTCTTTTTTCAGTAAACGACGACGTCGAAAGGAAACAGAATAAACGGCGATGTATACACGTTCGCCCCTATTTTGTTACTCAAGCTCGAGCGTAAGCAAACGCGCGCGCGCTCGGAAGGGCAGAAATAGAAAAGAGAAACCAAGAAAAAAAAAGGAAAGAAAAAAGAAAAAGACGAACTACGATATTTGCGCGGACGACGAGCGGCGATGATTTACGAGAACAAATCGATAGGGACACATTCTCGCTCTATGTAGCTATGCTTGGTTTATGTTGAGAAGAAGTAAGAAGAGAAAGAGAAAAGAAAAGCAAAAAAAGAAGAGAAAAAAAGAAAAGAAAAAGGCCATGTTCATTACTTGTCGAAGCAAAAGTTCTTTACGAAAAGTCCAGATTTCATCGGCTAATGCTTTCAATGATAATGATGGTCTCTAGAGAAAAACAATATTTAAATTATTAAACAAATTTATATATATTTTTTTTTTTACTTTTAATCCTTTTATTAATGATCGAAGACTATGACCATCAGAAATATATTGTGATTCACATATATAAACATCACATTCAGGAATTTCAGTTAAACGGTCTAGAAATAAAATTTATACTTTTATATACAGAAGAAAAAAAAAAGAAAGAACATTAATCACTTACAAGTGCAATAATGCTTAAGTGAAAGTACGGAACATTTTCCTATAATATTTTCAACTAAAATTTGTCTATTTGAACCATCACATTTAAGAACTTCTCGTTCATAAGAAGACTTCGTTGTTATTATTAATTGTTCTCGACTAGTTACATCACATGGTCGAATAAAAAGTGGACCATTAATTGCATATGAACTTAAAAGAAGAAGAAAGAAAAAAAAATCAAAAAATGTGTAAACACCAAATGAAGGAAGTCGTGCTTTTTTTGTGACCTAAATAAACACATCGCCTATGATGATTATATCTGTCATTAAAGAAAAACAATAATTTTTTCCGAATAAAAAAAAAAAAAAGAAATCTAATCGATGAAATTTATAATAATTGTTTTAATACGAAATATTTGACTGATTTCCACTTAATATTCTTTTCTTTTTTTTTTCCTATATAATTAAACAGATGCTTCAATTAAGCTTTAATAAGTTATAATGTGTCAAATAAATGGAGAAGAATTGAAAAATGACATAAAATAATTTAAAGGAGTGTGTGTACTTGAAAGAAATTTTATTATACAATAACAAAATAGACTTTTATCGACTTCGACAGATAATGAAGAAAATAGACAACAAATTTCCATGGTAACGAATAATAAATTAAAAAAAAAATATGTCGCGCTGTAGAAAATGATGAGAAATATTCTTATTGTTGAATTGAATAGAGAAGAAAAAAAACAAACTCTTTCAATACCATCGTTTATTAGTCCTTAGTACAATACTTGTCAAATAATATGCCTACTTTAGATTTTTATTACTTAAAAATATGTAGATTTTCGGTAATTAGAAGTTATAATAATTCAAGATTAATTATTATATTGTAGAAGATTATTTTATACATTAATTAATTTTTTAGAAACTTATATATTATAATAAGTCAGATGCAAAAAAAAGTCTGAAGTTTTGCATTTGCTACTAATAACAAATTTGTTTTTATTTGAAATAAAATATGTAAAACTCCTCGTTTTTCGTAAGATAGATTTAAAATATTTATTTCATAGCATATTTTGTAATTAGAGATATAGACTAATGAACAGATCAACAACTGAAATATAAAGATAATTTCTTAAAAAATATTTTTTTATTCCAAGGACATTTCAAGCGAAGAAAACCTTATAGAACATTCTAATAAAAATAGCAGTCAACGCATTCCCGAAAGGATTCTAATGTGAGACATGATGGATCAACTGACATTGTTAAAGAGGGAATTCATCAACATATAGATTTTTAGTTTTGTGAAATACTACATTCTATTAATGTATGGTAATTATTGAAAGATGTTAATTATTATGCGAAAGAATAACAAAAAACAACTATTCAATTATGTTTTCTAATAATACCGTTGTAAACTTCGGTGTTGTGGATATATCTGTCATAATTCCTAAGGAGAAACAGAGAAGATATAGTAAGGTACTCGCTACTTTCTTTGATGGAAAATAGACGTAACTATGGTGTTCGTCAAGGTTCATAATAACCGGGTTCAATAGTCTTTTTAGATTATGTTACATAAATTTAGACAAAAACATTGTAGAAAATTGATCGTACAGAGATCGGACATTTTTGACAATTCAATCACTTAGTTTTTATTGCTTCGGCAGCAACGGCTCACTCAATCGGCATCCATTTCTACTTGTAAATTATTAATCAACATACCGGATTCTAAGCTCAATGAATTTGATCTAGAAATAAAAGTAGCTCAAGTAAAATTCTACAAGAACTTTTTAAAGAAAATATTTACTCATTATGAAGTGAAATTTAATTATTAAAAATTTTCTGAATTATTATTCAGAAGAAAATAAAAGCACGATTCAATTGTTAAATAATTGATTGAAAATAATTATTACAAAAATCGAACAATCAACACAAAGGACTTGATTATTAAGCAAAGAAAATATAGATTTATTTACAAACGACAACTTTGAAAAATTTAGTTAGATGATGAAATGATAACAAGTATTTCAATTGAATCTTATAGATCATAAGTGAGATATCTGTTTTATCTTTTAATTGATGTTGTATTTTTTGTTTTCTTATATTCTTCCTTTGATCTCATTCTGTAGTTAAATATAACAACCAATATTAAGAAACATAGCCCGTTTTCGACCGCAAAACTCGAGAAAATAGTAGGAGATTAAAAGCAGACATTTAATGATCGATTCCGGTAGTTAGCTTTTCTTGGCTACAATCTGAACTAGAAAAATCCGATCATCGAATTCTTCGTTCTAAATTCTTACCATTTTCTAAAGTTTTCTACTCGGAAAAGGAATCTTTTCGGTGACAATCTGCCGAAAATTCATGGATTCAGGTATCAGAATTATTGACGTGAGAAAGTCCAAAGTACTAGACATATCGATAACTATATTTTTTATTCGAATGCTTTCATCTATATCGATTAAGATAATCTAAATTTTTGTAAACTTACTCATTATGTTTCCAAATTTTATCGATTCGTAATATAGATCGTCGATCTAATTGAGTACTATTTTCATGAAAATAAACATAATCTCCAATTTTATAAAAACAATTTGATGAAACAACAATTTGTTCATAAAATTGTTTTTTTTCTATTAAATTTTCATTTAATTTTTCATTAATAACAGCATCATATGGAATGATTTCTTTAATTTTTTCAATAATATCAACATTTATTAAATCATTATCATTTATTATTTGACTATGTAATAAATTATCATTATTGAGAGTTAATGATTCACGTATTGGTTCAAGTATAGTTTCTCTTGGAATTAATTTAACACGTTTATTTTCTGGTAAATTCCACCATTTTATTTTTTTAACAATTTTTGTTTTTATATTATAACGTGATTCACATACATATATATCTTTATCTAAATCTTGAAATTTTAATAATGTATTTGTTTCATTTTCAATAATAGGTTGATATTTAAAATAATCTTTTACAAGTAAAACATGACATAAACCTTGAATTTTATTCATTGGTATATGTTCAATTGTTTGTGTTAGAAAAACTTCTTGACGAAGAAATTTTTTTGTTGGTAAATGATATGTTTCATTTGGACGATAAAATTGTAAACCATTAAAATAATCTTCATTATCTTTATGTTCAAATGATTCAATACAAATTATATGTGCTTCACTTGTTTCATCATTTGGTTCGATATAAACAAAATCACCGATATAAAATGTTTCACCTTTCGATAATGAACTATTTTCAGTTGATAATGTAAACTTTGTCGACTAGGAACAAAAGAAGACGATAAATAAAATCATATATGTTTTAGGAACTGAAAACGCTTAGATTTAGAAATAAATTTATTTTTGTCATATTTTTCAAACAATATTTACAATGAAACTACTCCAATTGTTATTTCATATTGAATCCCCAAGTATTATTAGTAAGAATAGAAAAAAGTTTGAAAAGGTTCGTGCTTGTGAGTCGCTAAAATCGAGTTACTGGAATTTTGACCTGCAATATTGTTCATCAGTATGATGACTGTTCGAATATCCTAAAAGTTTCAGCCGAAAACAATATTGATTTTATCGAGATATTGTATATCGGAAGTAAACTCGATTTTTGTGATGTGTCTGCGACAAGCGACTATTTCTTGAAAATTCAAAATCTTAACAAGACTTCCTCGTGGATCCAATATGAGTTCAAACGGCTAATTGCAGTTATGATAGTTACTTCGATAGAAAACTTTTTTCAAAATGTTGATATTAACATTAGAAAGAAAGGCCTAAAAAGTTGTTTATATGGAAAAAGATTTGTAGTTAGAAAAGAAAAAAACAAGATAAGAAAATTTTTCTTAGTTGTTAATATTTTGTCGAAGAGAAACATCGTAGAGTAAAACGAATGATCACCTTAAGTTTTTTTCCTGACTAGTTCGTTAATATAAGTTCTTTAATGATTTTTGTAATAAAAAACGAAAAGTAACTTACGAAAATACCAGTAATATTACAAAAAGTTTACTTCAGATTTTAGTTTTAGCAAGGATGCATCCCAAATTGAAGAAGATCGATCTTCATGGAAAAATTGATATACCTGAGGGAAGGGGAACGGTAAGTATTCATTATTTTTTATGGGTTAAAAGATAGGCTTTTCCCATAGTGATTCCTACTCTTGTGTTCAAAATCCCTGAATATTATTGCATACAATGTTTTATCTAAATTTTTTTTTTTTTTCGACAGACAAATCCGATTTCTAAAAAAGTATTTTTCTTTGATCTCATACGCTGAATAAAATACTGTGAATAGGAAAAAAGGTGACAATCATTGTAACAAATCCTTTTTTAAATTTTTAAAACGATTAATTTATTTTTTCGCATACGGTAAAAGTTTCTTTTACTATCAAAACAAAAAAGTTAGAATTCAATTTAAAATAAAATAAAACATACAGATTCTTGGTTTTCATCAGTATCAGATGATTTTATTGTTGATATACTGTTCTGATTATTATTATTATTTGTTAAGGCATCTTTTTCTGATCGTTCACAAACAAGTTTTTGTTGTAGAGAATTTTCATTAAATAAAAGCGCTGGTGAATGAAGCAGATTGCCATGAGAACATATTTCATCACGTAAACGAATGTAATATTTTTGTAATTCAATTGTATCTTGATAAACCTATTAAAAAGAACATAAGAAATAAGAAATTAAATAATATGATAAAATATTTGCCTGAGAATCGGTAGCACTCAATTTTCTAGCACGTTCAAATACTTTAAATAAGTCATCTTGAAAAATATCTAATCGTCGATAACGTCGCTTAAAGAAAAAGAAACAAAATTCAAAAAAATAATATTTTAATTTTTTCTGTTTAATACTTGATTGAGATTTTGTTTAATTAGATCATATGTATATACAATATCAAATCTATCGAAAACAACAAAAACATTAATGATTCTATGAATAAATTTTTATTACGGTTCATTGTCAGTTTGTTCTGAATATTCAGCAAACGAATCAGTATAAAAACGACCGTTGGAATCCTTGAATAAGAAAATCAATGTTCTTAAAATATAAAATAACAAAAAAGGAAAAGACACAAACTTCAGCATTAAATGTCTGTATAAATAAATCCCATAATAAATCTTGAACTAAATTCTGTACATTATTAACATTGAATTCAGCATTGGTTAATTTTTTTCTTTGATTAATTAAAATTAGTTGAAGTGAGAGTGCATCCTAACAAGAAAAAAGAAATCAAATTAACTCAAAAGAATCTATTTTCATGAGAATAATCAAAATTGAGGTCATTGTTTGAGCTCTAATTTTTTATCAATGACATAGTTTTTTTTTTGCGAAAATTTTTGCAGAAAAAGAAGAAAAACTTTTGCACTTTTCTTTGTTTGTACTGTTTAGATTATGCATTGAGAGCATTTTCGAAGGAGCTTCATTGTAGCTAATCTCTTGTTTTTTTATGTATTGAACTCTTCATCTTTTTTCTCAACATAAAAAGTAAGAATTTAAAAAAAAAAGGGCACTGCAGTCTGACATACTCTTTCAAATAAAGAAAAATTTAATCTATAGAATGAGAACCCATAGAGAACTACTGATTGCCAAATCAGCTATTTTTGATCTTCTTCACTACAGCCTCAATGTATCTTAAAAAAATGAGTATAAGTTTTTCGATAATTTTTTGACTGTAGAAAGGAATCTATATATAGGTTTCCACAAATAGACGTTCTCTATCTGAAAGTGTATACATTATCAAGTTCTACTACGTGTTGTTGACATGTCAACGATATACAGTAAAATTCGACATAGCATAAATCATTTGATAGAAAAGTATTTATTCGATCGTTTTTTTTTTTTTGAGAGAGCATGCTTAATATTTTTCATACTCGATAAATTGTCGAACCAGGTTCATTATATAAACAAGCATTATCTAACATTAGTTGTAAATCATTAGATAAATCATTAATTGATGAATATTGACGTGATTCAATACGTTTAAGATCAATTGGTCGTTGAATTATTTCATAATAATCCGGATAATCAATTTTTGATGGTAAGGTTAAAAATACTGTAGATAATATTCGCCCATGATGATCTGTATAAGTTTTAATTGTTTGAATTAAATTATTTGATTTATCATTTAATGTATTCGCTGATGAAGAATTTAAAGATCTGACAAAAACAAAAGCAAAAAAATGACGAAAAAAAATTTATTGTGTTTTTTTAATATTATTTACTTTTTTATTATTCCTTGATTAACTGTACGATTTGAAATTAAGTTATTAAAAAATTTTTCTTTTTTATTCATTAATTTTTTATATTTAATAGCTAATACATTTTCAAGTTGACAAGCATTTTTATATATATTTGATTCATCAACATTATAAGTTTTTGCATTCTTAAACATACGATTTAAATCCTCAACAATATCTTGTTCACGTTTATACTAAACAATGAAAAAAGAAAAAACAAATCTTTAATAAAATAGAATTTCTTTGATTTACTTGTCCTTTATCCATTTTATCTTTTATCATAGACATATCGATAGGTTGTTCAATAGATTCATAATAATCTGAATATTCACTTGAAGATGGTAATTGTAAAAATGGTGTTATTAAATTAATATTATTTTCCTTGACAAAAAAAAAACAAAGTAAAATTTAATTGACAGATAATATTTAAATGAAATTTACTCGATATTCTCGAATAAAAGTATAGAGATTATTAATATTTTGTTCAGTATATTTAAGAATTTTTTTTGATGGACGACCTCGTGGAGTCTAAAAGGATTATTTGAATGAATGATAGAAAAGAAAGATTTTTTGATTTACGTTAGGTGAATGAAGATTTAATGATTGTGACGATGAAGAATGATTATTACGTGATTGACATTGATGATTAACCAATGATTCTATATATTCTTCTTTGATTGGAGTCTGAAAGAAAATAATTCAACTGAATTTTTTCAGAACAAAAACAAATTTTGATTTAATTACCACTGAAATATTAACATGAGCTTCTTTTAGTCGTGGTTTGTGTTCGTCATATCCAAGTTCGTGAGCTTTTACAAGAACAACATCTAACAACTTTCTAGCACTCTAAAATAGAAAAAAAGAATTTAATGATTAACATTCATTTTAATTATATAAAGAAAAAGAGACATATTGTTCGTGAATTAAAGTGATACTTTCGGAAAAAATATCAATATGTCAGAACAAATAGAAAATACAATTATCTCAGGCAAGGTTAGTATTTTACTTTTTTGAACAAACAAAATTAGAATATGAAAATAATTTTTTGTTTTCTAATATATATATTAACTAGCTTGAAGGTGACCTTAACATGCTCGAACAAGGATGAGAGTACATTCTTACTGTCAGTCTGATGGGTCGTCCTAACTTCAGCCTGACTTGTAGCCACATTCCTATCTTGATACGCTAGTTATTTTATCTGATCCAAAAATGAAATTCAAACTTTTCTTGTGATGAATATATAGACAAAACAATACGTCGAAGTTTTCCCGACAAAATTACAATTTCAATTTTATTTGGATAAATTCGAAATTAGTCTGTATTTCACGTTGCCCATAATATGATACTTTCTCTTATTGTTAAGTTGACTTACATTATATATCAATGAGCCTTCTTGATTATATTGCATAGCATTATTAAACATTAATTTAAAGTCATCAAAAAGGTCAGTTACATTATTATATCGTCCTTTCTAGGAAAAAAACCAAACAAACAAAAATTATATATATTAATCAATAATGAATTTTTCTTTATTTCTGTATTTTACTTTAATATAATTTTTAATCAATGACATAGAAATTGGTCTTTTTATTTCTTCATAATAATCTTGATGAAATCTTTTATTAGGTAATTTCATAAATGGATCAATAAGACTTTGTGCACCAAGTTTATAAGTTTTAACAGCATTATATAAAATTCTAAAAGAATCTTCTTCTTCACTCAATGAACTTGTATCTGAATCAATTCCATCATCATTTTGTTGTTGTCGATCTTGTTGTATTCGTATAACATCTTCATCATCGGGTTCTTCTGGATAATCCATATTTGCTATTTCTAATGATAAAAGTACATCACGTTTACGTAATCTTAATCGATCATTTTTTGTTTTTAAAGCTAATTCAAGTTCATGTCGAACTGTTGTTATCAGCTTTCGTAATGCACATGCATCCTAAAAAAGAAAAAACAAATAATATGACGTTTTTGTTTGTTCTAGGTTTGCAGGAAATTTTGGATCGAATCGAAGTTTACCTTATAAAGAGTCTTATTTCTATGAAATAGTCGATATATTTCGTAAGCGCTCACGACAGAACCACCGCAAGTGATATCCGTCATTTGAGCTTATATTAGGTCTACAGGCAGGTCTTAGCGAGACCATCAGAAAGTCTAAGAGGGTTCGTTCGCACAGATTTTTATTATCGAGGTTTATCAAATGACTCTTAAAGTTTCAACTGAAAAGAATGTTCCTTCAGCTAGATATTAAATTTCCAAAAAATAGCTTTTTCCCATAAATATATCAGAAGCAATGTTTACTTAAAAGTTCAATAACTCGACGAAGGAAATTTTTTTTCGTGGTCTTCTAGCGAGTACGTTAAAGTGGGGCAAATAAAAATCAGTAAACCAGTCATAACTCGGCGTCGAAGATCAATGGAGATTAATCCTATTAGGTGTTTTTGTGCTGTTCTCTCTGACATCTGTCTGTGGGTTCAATATGAACTCAAACGGCGAATATCATTCGAAGTATATCAACAATTCATAGAAATAAGACTCTTTATAAGGAAGACTTTGGTTCTATCTAGCTTTTTTGTTTTCTTATACTTTATAAATTTGTGATTTTGGATCGTTATATTTTTTCGCATTAGAAATCATTAATAATAAATCATTTTCCATATCATCTAATGTTAAATATTGATTATTTTGTATTTTCATAGCTACCATTTTTAAATCAATTGGATTTGTTACAATTAAATAATAGTCTGGATAAAGCTTTTAATAAAAAGAAAACAGAAATAAAAAAAAAATGAATTGAATATAATAATGTTTACTTTTCGTGAAGGTAAAAATAAAAAGATTTCGGACATAATACGTTCATTGATATTTGCATTATAAATAGCTGTAAAAAATTCTTCGAAATAATATGTATCAATGGAAATATTATTATTATTATTATTTGATTCATCACATTCAACTTTTATAGTTGTACCATTTGTTAAGATTTCATTTGATTGACGACTTCCACGTCTTTTTTTTTCAATGACTTCTTCATTATCGATTTCATGATTCTATTTGAAGATAAAAAAATAAGAAAATAAAAAAATGTTCGATTTTTACTTTTTTTGATATTCTTTTTTGATTTGGATTTTCATTATTTATTTTCGAATAGAAATATTTTGATAAATCATTTGCATCACGACATTCATTGGAATTTTTCTAATAGAAAAATTTATTCTTTAAAGAATAATAAATCATTAAATAAATGAATTTTACTCGGTAGAAAGTTTTTGCATTTGTTAGAAGTAATTCAATATCATCAATAAATTGTTCTAATGTTTGATATTCATCAGTACGAATTTTTTGTTGTATACGAATTAAATCAATTGGTTGTTTTATTAATGTATAATAATCAGAATGTGTTCTATAACAAAAAAAAAAAAAAAAAGGAAATAAATTTTCCATAAACCTAAATATATAATTTAAAAATGAAATATACCTTTTACTAGGTAAACGTATTAAATTTTCACAAACTATTCGACCATCTTCGGATTTATAAGCACGTATAGCATCATATAATTCTTGACAAAGATCATTCTAAGAAAACAAAAAAAATTCGTAATAAATTTTTTGAAAAGAATTTTTTTGTTTTACAATTTCTCGATCATCAATTGCTTTTCGACTACGTTTTGATGCACTTTGAATACTAGATGGTTCAGCATCATCATCGCGATCACTAGCACTGTGAACGCGCTTCGGCATCTATTTACAAAAAAAAGGTAATAAGTAAAAGAAACTTCATAACTAAGATATACAAACAGAACAGTGAAACTGTTACGATTAAATGTGAGAAGAAAATAAATAAACAAACATTTTTTTTTGAGCTATCCAAGGTTTTTCTTCGTTCTCATCAAATGATTCACCAATTACTATTGGAGATTGATAGAAATGATTGAAGTGACATCTATTGAACAGAGAAAATGATTGAATAAAAATCTATTCGTTTCATTCTTTTTTCTTTTGCCTTAACGTATTAGTTGTAAAGAACTAATCATCGAAATATATATTTGTGGTAATGTTCATTACATACACTATTAGTATTGAACTTGGTTACATTCAAAAATCTTTAAGGCGCCTATATAGAATTAATTAAATGTTTTTTCTTAGTATTAAATAGCAAAAGCATTGCTTTTATTTGAATGATTAGGTCATTAAAATAGATCTACTAATAAGTATTATTAACCTCTTGGATACTGCTGTCTTCAATTGAAGACAAGCAAAATGAAAGAATTTTGTTTTCGTTCTGTCGTATCGATAAACAGCTGTGAAACGAAATGTTGATTAATGTGCTTGTATCAATCCACATTTCATATACAATAAAATATACATGTATACAGCTGATTTACGATAATAGGACGCAAGAGAGAGTGATTTTTTGATTTTTCTATAAGATCGTAAAGAACGCAAGAATTGTCGGGATCCAGAAGGTTAAGAAAAAAAACATAACATTAAAAGTAATTAATAATCAAAATCAGTGTAGAAACAATGTTCGATTTCATTCGATCGTATAACGAAACTAGATATGAACCTTCAATCAGCAATATTAGACTTGTTGGTTCTATAACCATGCGTTTATTTACAAAAAGAAAAATTTCTTTGTGGAACTGTGTGTTGAATTCAGAATCACACGATCTAGTGCATTAAGAACAAGACGCTTTATATATAACTAAGTCTAAGAATTATTGAATATTGAACATGAGCAAAATTGAAAATATTTATCAGACTGTTATCAAATTTAACAGTACAAAAAATCTGCTCCATACTAACTTGAACTCTGCACATGATCATAGTTGATTGCTATCGTACTACTTCTTGTACAATTCAAAAAGTTATTATATGATTAGAATTCAAATATTAAGTCTAAGATTATGCTTCAAATACATTACCATTGCCTATTAAATACTGTTTCATTTTACTTTAATTATTCAACAAAAATATTAAAATAATATTGTCATTGTAGACAATTCACGGCATTACTGACATTTACTGATTTGTGTAATATTAACTATTAAATAAGACAATATCAAATACCACTTTGTTCACATATCAGTATACATGATTAAAGAAAAACATAGAAATTAAAAGGATATTGGTGTTGAATTTCTTTGTTGTAAATATGTATTTAACTGTTCTTTCTTTCTGTCAACATAGAATATATGTAAAAGATGATCGATATTGATTTTGAGTATTTGGAATCATTTCGAAAAATATGTTTTTTAAGCTCCTGTACAACGGTGCTCTTTGATTATACAAGTATCACGATGACAATTATTTTGTAGACTTTTTCTTGTTGGAGCAATTTTATTTCTTTTTATTAAGAAAAAGAAAACTATGTTCCAAACTTACGAGGGAACATTCCCAAGTGTCACATCGCTTTTGAGTCGAGAGTATGAGCATCATGTAGGTCCTAGTGATCTATGAACACCCTGAAAAAAGTTCGTGCCACTAGCTTATTGGTGCTGAGATATTGCATTTTTACGGTATTCTTAAAAAATGAAAGCTGTGGTCCCCCTCAGAAACATCAGAAAACCTAATTTTCGAATTTCGATTTAGAACTTTGCAAACAGATAGATCTTGATGGGAATAGNTCGAACCGACGAACGTTACTTGTACTGAATAACTTCAACAGTTGGTGTTACTCAAGAGTACAATGGTCTCTAATAAATCGTCCACTGTTCTACGCTTCGAAAACGCTTTTGTTAATATTAAAAAAATATATGCTGTACTATCCACATAAATGGGAAAAAAACAGCTAAAGACTATAGACATTTACTCACCATTACTGATCCAATCGATGAAGGTGATAAAGAGCTTTGTGATTTATTTATTCGTTATAATGAAAAACTACATGATGATCGTTCGCCAGATACAGCTGAGTTCGTTATGATCTCGTAAGATAGTAGATAATATATAGTTATTAATCGAAACAAATTTTGCCAGTACACAAAAGACGAACAAATAGTATGTTTTTATCAAGCAGCTAGTAAAATGTCTATTGATAGTAATATTCTAATTGGATTAGAGCACATCTGCACTAAGAGTCCACCATGGCTAGCTAATTTTGTTATCGATAATTGGATAGATATTCTGAACGAGCAATACAAACAAAAGCATCCATTAGCACGTTCATGTATCCAGTTCGAAATTCACAACTATCGTTTGTAACCAAAGAGATTCTCCTAAATATTACTGAATCACTTGATTTTTATTCCATGCAATCTGTGTGCAAAAATTGGTATACAATTTTAAAACAACAATCATTTTGGAGAGACATGTATTTAGCTCATTATGGACAGTATGCTGGAGATATTAACACAGTAACAAGTTGGAAACTGTTGTTTTTAATAAAGGCGACAAACGAGACTAAGAATGAATCAATTGACTTCAAGCAGTTAGTTAATACCACCATTCAATTGAGTAAGACCACAGCAAACGACGTCTTACGCTTATGGGAGGATTTTACACATGAAAATCAATCCGTTCATCCTGATATTTTTTCTCACATTGATTATATTTTCTCTTATTCTTATTATTTTTATATGAATGAAACATCAAATCCTATTCCGTTAAACTTATCTTTATTGGATTATATCATCCACGATCACGATCTATAGTAACTTTAAATCTACGTGTAGGCACATATGGATCCTCTTATTTTACCGATCACATGAAAGAATTGTCAATTAAATGCAACAACGATTCAGATGATTCTTGTTACGTGTCATTTATGGGTTCAATATTGTTTGGACTCGATATAGGACAACGCTTTTATTATCGTACAACAGGGGGCATTCTTTTTACACGCACTCCCAGTGAAATTTGTTCAGCACTTCCATCGGACATTGCCTTATGTCTATTCATTATGATGGTTCATCCAGTTCATCGTGCGCGATTTATTTCGTATTTGAGAAAATGTGAAAGTCAGTGTAGTTCCAATACACTGTACTAATATAATCAAATATTTTTTGTTGCTTATTAAAGTATCACATAAGTAACAGTATTAGAGGATGTTTGTAGCTGTGAGTATGGAGTATCTTTTCTTTTTTCTACATTCATCCTTTCATATCCATACTTAAACTTTAGTGATATATAATTGATTATATAGAATGCTATGCGCTATAAATTTGGAATGAACGAGAAACATTTTAAGTGTATTTCGATTCAGTTAGAAAGTGAAAATATAAGTATCTGAAACTTTCAGCAGATCCTCAACTATATGTCAATAGTCATCAGTGAAAATTTTAGTATGATCCGCTAAAATTTTCTTTTACTTCCATTCATCACAACCGTAGACCGTAAACATACTTCAAAATGCCATATATGGATGTGGATGTTCCTGTGAATAAATCCACACTGACGTCACACACTAACGTCTACACCTCATCATATGAATAAGATTCGACTTGTTATAAAGACCTTATGTGATCGCGAACAGTGTCTTCGAGGTTTTGTATCGATTTTCGTCGACTATGATGTCAGTTTAAATATTCATTTGCACATCTGTTCAAATCCTTTTCTTTCAAAATGCTAGAATACAATATTTTATAGAACATGTTTCACAACGAAAGAGAGATGTTAAAGTAAAAGTGGCG